ATTGGAGCCTTTGGTCTAGCCTTTAGATCAAGAGGATGCTGCCTTGAAAATGGGACCCCAGAAAGAGCTACATTGGTCCTTCAACTATATGAGGATGCAGTGAGAGGAAAGCCAATGAGTGTACCCTGACCAGCCCAAAACTGCAAATACCTTGAACTTTGGACTTCCTGGCCTTTTCAGCTATTGGAAACCAACCTCCATTGTCTATTAAGGATGTGGTCTATGGTCATCTGTTACTGAATACAAGCTAAATTACAAATGCCTGCCTAGGAATACTGTACAAACTAAGAGCTTCTATGTGAAATATTTGTCTAGCATTCTATATAAGATCCATACCAACAAAACTGATGTCGTACATGTAAGGATTCAGGCATTATTCTGGCCTGCCCCATGTCACCTGGCAGAATGCACTCATGCAATACCCTGGACATCCCAGGGTGCCATGATTGCTATGTCACTACCTAGTCTGCAGGAAGGTACAAAGGTTTCTTTAAGAGGCAAACTCCACCCACCTCCCCCCTCTGTCTTTCTGCCATCTCTACGAGGAGGAGGCAGATTCCTACCTGTTCTGTCTCTCTCCTCTCGCTTCCTCTCTGTCACCCTTTCTTTCTCTTTTTCTTCTCTCTCCTCTCTTACTCTTCCCACTCCCCTCCCAGTAAAACTTCCTTTCCATGTAAGTTCTGCCTGATGGCGTGTTTATGCCCCACCACGGGATTGGCCAAGGTCCCACCCTCACACCATCTTATAACACTACATACTCATCATTTTCAAGGGTCTTAAGATTCTTTGTAATTTTTGAGGGGAGTGAGCCATCATCAGTTCACTGAGTGGACTCAGAGGCTTCAGTGTTAAAAGCTTACTAAATATGTAATGTGTTTCAAAAATTCTTTTGTTTTGTTTTGAACTGTGTGACCCAGGGTAGTCTTGAACTCACAGCACTACTTCTATCTCAGAATCTGGAGTGTTGGGCTACAGGTGTGAGCACCACACCTCATGATTTCTACTCTTGAAGAAGGAGTGTAAATCACTTGAGAAAAAGTGAAATCAATCTTTTTTAATACTGCATTAGAAATCTAGGTCATTGTATATAAAAGGCAATCCTCTTAGGAATTGATTCCTGGTTCTTGTTTTTAACAACTTCTCTTTAACATTCTATTTATTTATTTTGTGAGGACAAGGGGGCACAGTGCCACAGCACTCTGGCAGAAGTCAGAGGGCAACTTGCAGGATTCCATTACCTATCTTCTACCATGTGGGTAATAGGATCAAACTCAGGTCCTCAGGTTTGGCATCAGGCACCTTTACCTACTGAGACATCTTGTCAGTCATCATTCTTCTAAACCCTGATTTATTCATTGTTAAAGCAGGGCATGGTTTTACTTCTAGTAATTCGCAAACATTTTGGTAATGTAAATTCTAAAATCCTTGCAGTCTTTTAAGGAGAGAGACTCTGAGTAATGATTAACTATCATAATTGAGCTGACTGGAATGATAGATGCCTTGAGAACAAAATCTACTTCTGGGTGTGTCTATGAAGCATTCTAAAGAGACAACTGAGTTTATAAGGGCTCTGATCTAATCAATAGCTTAATCTGACCATGGGCTGAAGATGCTCACAGAAAAACAGGAGGAAGCAGAACTCTGAGGAATAGTTGGAGAAGTACTCAGAAGTACACTATGCCTTGCTAAGTGTATATTATGCCTCTGCTTTCTTCTCCTTCTCCTCTCTCTGTTTCATGGCTGCTTTATAATCCTGTCATAATAATATTCAAATGCAGCATACTTAAAGTAATGGACCCAGCTGACCTTGAACAAAACCCTCTAACACTGTGGCAAAATGAACCTTTTCTCCTTCAAGGATTTTTTTTTTTTTTTTTGGTACTGCATATTTTTTTTTTGTTTGTTTTTTTGGGTTTTTTTTTGGTTCATGTGTGCATGGGTGTGCCCATGCAAACAGAGGTCAGAGGAGAACATCAGGTGTTCAGCTCTGTCATCCCGTGCCCTGCTTGCTTAAAGCGAGGTCTCTCACTGACCCTGAAACTAAGCTGGCAGTCAGCAAGCCCTAGTAATCTTTCGGTCTGCAGTTCTCACATGGCTGTGGTACAGACAAGGACACATGGCCATGTTTGAGGTCTTACATGGGTTCTGGGGATTTGAACTCAGGTCCTCATGCTTGCAGAGCCCTCTCACCCAGAATCATCTTCCTAGACTTCATTTTTTTTTTTAACTAAATTTAAACTCATCGTCCAAAGTAACAGGTTTCATTATGCCATGTTCATATACATGTACAATTCTACTGTGCTCTGATTCACTCTTCCCCCCCCTCCTCCCCCACCCTCCCTCATCCCACCAACTTTTCTTGCTGGAACCTTTTCTTCCCTGCATTATGCCCCTTCTGCTTTCACTTAATTGTATTCTAGCACCCTCCATTTCTCCTACTTCCTTCTCTCTTTAGACCCCTCCCTCCCTTCTCATGATCCCCTTGCCAGTTTCATCACACATTGAGACACATGTACATACATCCTAAAATCTATGTTCTGCACATGTGAGAAAGTGGCTATTTGTCTTTCTAACTCTGGCTAATTACACGTAACAAGGGATTCCAGTTCTAGTCATTCCATCCACATTATCTGAGATGAATTTAGATCATGCCTCTATTCCATAGGTTTGTGTCTAAGCGATCAGTTTTCTTAATTTCTCAGCTAATATCCTAAATGAAGATAAATAAATGAATCATCAGTTTGGAACCACAATAAAATCTGCCTTAATAGGGAAATAAATGAGCATATGATGATACTTTAGGATTAATAACAGAAAATATGGTCAAGTGTTTTCTTTACAACTTTCTAGATATTATTACAGAATGCAAACCTAGTTGTTTTGTTTGCAAATTCTGATGTACACCATATTCTAGAAATACGTATTGCCCTCTTAGGAATGCCTGAGGCCTGCCAAAATGTTGTCTGGTTTCTATAATTTATAATGAGGCTCTGAAAAGGTTGTGTGTGTGTGTGTGTGTGTGTGTGTGTGTGTGTGTGTGTTCAAATCATCTGAAACCTTTGAAATAACAACTCTCGCCAGAGGTGAGTATCACATTTACTTGCACTGGGCAATGCTGTAACCCTTTAAGCCTGGGCTGCTTAGCACACACCTGTAAGCCTGGAAACTTGGGAGTGTGAGGGAGAAAGAGAACTCGAGCCCAGAGTTCCAGATCAACCTGGGCAACACAGTGAGACCCTAAACCACCATCACCACCATCAGCACCACAACTACCATCACTACCACCACCACTATCATCATCACCACCATCACTACCACGACTTCCATTATCACCACCACCACCACCACCACCACCATCAACAACAACCAAAATATGTTAAAATACAATCATGGAACACAAAGAGGAACAAATGAAATATTAAAAGAAAACCTCTTAGGAATCAGCACTGAAGAAACACAAAGAAAATTAGGAAGAAAAGAAAGGAGTGGGGAGGAGAGAAAGCAAAAAAGGAACAAGGATGCCCTCTGACAACTTAATATAAGAGATACAAGAACAACAAAGACATGGTCAGCAAGAGGGTTCAACAGGTAAAGGTGTCTGTCACCAAATCTGATGGCATGAGTTCAATACCTGGAGTCCCCATGGTGGAAGGAAAGAATTGAATCCTGAAAGTTGTCCTCTGACCTCCACACATGCACAGTGTACATGGGTATATTGCACAAAGAAGTAGCATGCAATAGAAAAGAACAACACTAAATTTAAAGAAAAATGGTGACAGTGGTGAGATTTCCTTATAATACTAACCCAGTACCCCAAATGCCTGTGTTCAATAATTTCTGACTGAAAAATATCAGAAAGACTTGCAGGTGTCCATTTTATTATGTAATTAAACCAACTACATCTTGCTAGGTGCGCAGCATGATAGAAAGATGGGGGAGTCTATTCAAGAAAATCCACCCCATCTTGGTCCCTAAATAAGAATGTAAAAGAAGTATATAGAAGGTCACTACTAAGCTGTGCAAAATATGATACCAACCTCTAGTAAGGGTTTACTTGTTCTTCTTTCAAATGATTTGAAAACACACACACACACACACACACACACACACACACACACACACCTTTTCAGAGTCTCATTATAAATTATTAAATTATAAAAATCAGACACAAATGGGCAGGCCTCAAGCACTCCTAAGAGGGCAATACATGTTTATACATACATAACAACTAGCTTACAGAAAGCCTATTTTGAATTCTATTTTGAAATTCTTCATGATCACAAACAGAATAAAAAGGATTAAGATATCAGCACATTTTTCAGCACTGAATCAGGAGTTGCTTCATGCCCAAGTTCTGCCCTTGCTTGGTGATATACACAGTGAAGTCTATTTAATTACTGGTTTACCAGGATCTGCCTTGCTTGGTGATGCTCATAGTCAAGTCTTTCAGTTACTGGTTTATCAGGACAGTACAAAAAGTCAATAAAGTCTGAGGTTGTGCAAATAAGTGAAAATGTGTACATCTTTTGGAAATAAGACAGATCTAGAAATACCACTTTTCATTTATGCCATACTCTTCCAGTACTTCAGGCACAAACTCACAAGAGGAACAGACAGAAATTGCTCACTTGGGTAAATGTGTTTAGGAAATCAGGACACTGCTAATGAACATCTTCTGTTGCCCAGATGGCATCTTAGGGCTAGATACAAAATGATTTTCCATTTTCAAAAATGAGCTGACCTTCCTATATAAAGTCGATGTGTTCTGCTCAAATATGAAACTAAAAAATTATGAAATTTTCTCAGAATTTAGGATCACGTATGCAACAGATTTATTTAGCACAATGTTTCATATGAATATGTCTGTGTGGTTTTAAACATTCAAAATGTTTAAGTTTGTCCTACAGAAAACAAAATACAGTGAGTTGACATGCAATAGATTGTGTTTATCAACTGGAGAGTGCCAAGGAGATGAACACCCATGAGAACACTAGATCTACCTGGTTTAGAAGGTCTTCCACCTTCTTCTGCCATGAATCCCTGGCGGCGTTTTTCTCTCGCTCTTTCAGCTGCAACAGTTGAGACATTGCAGACTTTTTATCCTCTTCATGTTGAAGCCTTAACTCTTGGCGAAGTTTAGAGCACTCTAGTCTATAATAAAACAGAGGCATTTGCTTTGTAAAGAGAGTCATCTCCCTCCGTAAGCATTCCCTAGTGGTTCACAGATTTTCTAAAAGCTCACTGAGTTCTCAAGTCTGTGAGTCTGTGTCACAAGGCTGACTTTCAGGAAACTGGTAACTAACCAAGACCACTTATCACTCTACTATTGGCACAATAGGCATGAGAACAAATAGTCTTCTAATCAAGTTAGTTCTCTGCTTTTTAAAAAAATATATTCAAGAAAATTACATTTAAAGGGTGAATCTGAACTCAAACAGGAAAAAAAAAAGAACTCTAAATTCTCTACATTTGTCCATGAGAAAAATTAACTTAAAGCACTGCTAGCACATCTTTAATAAGCAGCCTACAACAGGGATACTTCCCACTTGTCTGTACCAGGGAGACCGCACAGCAGAGCCCAGTGTACCTAAGATTTTCAGTCCACTTTATCTCTAGGTCATGAGCCATTCTGCCCACCCTCAGCTTCTCCTCTTCCTTCATGGCAGCAAGTGTTTCTTCATGCTGGTGTCTCTCTTGTTGTAGCTCAGCCTGTGGAACAGAAACACAAGTGAGCATTGGTCAGTCTCCACAAGCCCGAGCACTACTGTCACGAACAGCATGCTTCTATAGACCATGCCAATGTTTACAGTAGCAGCCAATGATAAAGCTAGCTAAGAGAATTATTCAAGATATTTCAACAAAATACATGGAACACATTCTATATTTTAATTGATCTTTCCTTAACCTTTAAAATCCAAACTAGCATTATTTGAACAGTTTAAAGTTAGTTTACTAAAGCTTTCTTTTTTTAATCACAAACATATATCATATAGCCATGTTCCTCAAATTAATTCATATTCATATTTAAAATCAGGCCATTTGTCCAAAGTCTAATTATTATAGCTACATACCATCAATATGATTAAAGGAATTATGAGGAACTTAAGTTGATTGGATATTTTCTTACGTAACTTAAGCCACAGGCCCATGTGCTTAATGCTAAGAAAAAGACATGATTCACAAGAAACCCTTACAGATTAGCATAAATCAAGTGATTCTCTGGACTAGTGGCTAGAGGTGAGCATCTGGACAAAATCCACCAAACAGACCACTGTCAGTGCTGTGGCTGCTCAAGGGTACCAGGCAAAAGGGAGGTGACGAGTATCCTTTGGTCACTCTGATGCATGTTCCTGGATATCTCTCTGACTGACAGCATAGGATAGAGCAGTTTTAAAGGTTGTATTCATATTAATGACAAAAAAGACGTCAGTATCAAAATTCCCACTCAATATGATTCATTTGGCTAACAAAAGGTAAATACTAAAAATTGAATTCAGGTCCCTGTTCTAGAATACTATTTATCCTCTAGGAATCATTTTTGTTCACAATCAGTAGCAGTACACACAATAGAATTTCTTAAACTTTTTCTTATTTAAAGAAATTCTGCATTAAGATTTATTTTTAAATGTGTGTGTGTGTGTGTGTGTGTGTGTGTGTGTGTGTGTGTGTAGGCATGTGCATGTGACTACAGATGGCCTCAGAGGCATCGGTTCCCTCTGAGGCTGGAGTTGTAAGATGACATATGCTAAAGTTAGGAATGGGGCACATACATTAAGGTGAGGTACCACATACACACACACACACACACACACACACACAAAAAAAAAAAAATCCATGTGCAACTTTCAACTAAATGGATTTATGCATTTAAAATACCTTTTACTTTTGGCAATGTACAAAAATATCTCTTAATATGAATTAGTCATTCCATTCAGCCTTCTGTGGAAAATGGCTACCACTGATACTATAAGCAATGCTTGGTATCACACACATTAACTATATTGTATACTACAGCAATTCTAAATGAAGACTCATTCTTTGTCCTATTAGCACTGTTGTATCATATAGCCACTAGATAAAGGTAAATAAAAGCCATCTATTTATTTTGTCACAGATTTCAAAAATAAAATGCAATTGGCAATCAAAGCAATTGTTCCCTAGGTAAAATTCCCTAGGTAAACATGAATAGAATTATATATGTACACAGTATAGGAGGTGACACACTTGAAGCTAAAAGCTAATATTATTACTAAAACCAACACCAAGTGTTTCCACTTTGTTGAGCACTGTCCTGTACATAGCTTATCTCTTTTAATTATTACAACTGTGATATGAAAAATATTATTATGTTGCTCTCTGTCTTATTAAAGTGTCAAGGAAGAAAATGCATCTTCTTCCAAAGTGCCACAGTAAGTGGTGGATACAGAGTTCACACAGGACCAGCACTGCCTGACTATGGAATCCACATTCCAGTTCACCACTCAGAGAGTATATGAAAAACCCTTGTCTATTGTCTGCCTAGTTTTACAGGTTCTGAAACTTTGCTATATTTCCCAAGAGTGGGAGGGGAAAGGCAGGGCCTTCTGAGACTTGCAAGTCACAAAGAACTCTTGTTTGCTATATATGAAAGTTGCAGCTTCAACCAGGAAAAGAACTTGCACATACTAATTATCCTGGATTTAACTGTGTCTGTAAAAAGCTTCCCTGAAATCTCAGCCCTTACACTCAGTCTGTCTCAGGAGTCAACCTTATCTGGAAACAGCACCCATGCACTTTTATTTACTTAAAATGAGGCCGTATGGGAGCAACTGAATCCCTACTCCAATATGACTTATAAGATGATAATGTGGAGACAGGTAGAAACGGAGATGATGTGACTAAATGTAAAACCATCTTCAGGGCTATAAATAGCTCAAAAAAAGGAGGGGGGGTGATTCCCTCTTAGAGACATAGGAATTTATTTTAGACTTCTAGCTCCAGAACCAGGAGATGACCCATTTTAGATGGGCTCAAGTCACAGCATTTGTGTTACTTTGTTAATGGGATTCCTGGGAACTAATATACACACAATGATGCTGACATAGGCTCTAAGCAAAGTGGTCCAATTATATTTTCACATTACACATTTAGATTACAGCAGAGATAAGCAATTACCTCAACTTTTAATAGGACATCCTTGGTGTCCTTTAGCCTGCCTTTTGTCAGATCCAGTTCACTCTGAAGCTTCTCTTGGGAGTCCTGAAGACTAGCAATGAGTCCCTCGGCAGAGCCAAGATCTTGTTCACTTTTCCTTACCAGATCTTGGAGGCGGCCAATCTATGAGTGAACAGAGTATTTTTAATATGCCAAACAGTGGCAGACCAGTGCCAGTCTCATGGTTTGAGAGTTTTTCCTTAGTTTTGGCTTCGCTGAATGGATTCCTTCTTCATGAATTTGTAAGAAACACTTAGCCATGATACCCTTTTTTTTTTTTTTTTTTTTTTTTTTTTTTCAAAAAGACTTCCATGACTACAGTTTCCACTTTCCAGGACTATAATGCAAGGACATGGATACAACTTCCTTGGGCTCTTGGTTTAAAAAAAATTCCTGGTTAGATCAGATAATAAAATACCTATGAAAAAGGAACTACTGAAAGATAAAAGATTATATTAGAGATAAAAATAAATGGTTTTAAAGCTTTCTTTAAAATTGAACCATTTACAAATCACAAGTCAAGCCTTCATGCATTTAGGTCAATACTGGCAATCTCTTAAATATATCTCAGAAAACCAATTGTTATTTGTACTTCCACACAGAAGTTGCCTCAGGAAAGAAACTTTTAAGTTGGAACTAGAAGTAAAAGGACAATTTGTTGACTGGGTTGGCAGAAACCATTTCATTGTAAGAGCCAAAATCAATGAATGAAATAAATACTTTAAGAAAATGCTATGAAGTCAAAATGCATTTGAACAGAAAATGGACAAGCCTTCTTTAAAAATACAAGAATATTTTCCTGAAGATATTTTCTTACAACTATAGATTTCACAAAGGAAAATACAAAAACTGTCCTTTAGCACCCTCTGTTGTGGCGATATCTTGCTTGTACAAATAAAGCTTGTCTGAAGATCAGAAGATAGACCTTGCCACTACCTAACCATAGAGATCTGGAGGTCTGTACAGACAGACAGGAAGTGTGACACACATTCTTTTTCAGAAACACAGCCTGCCTGTTCGTTCAGTGCAGGTAACACTATGAGTATATTTGTACATGTATATATGTGTATATATCTATATGTATACATATACGTGGGTATCTATATGTGTATATATCTATGGTATCTCTATGTGTGTATGTCTATATGTTTTACAGGTATCTCTATGTGTATATATCTATATGCATATATACATACATATACATGGTATCTCTATATGTGTATGCTAAATGAGTCTGGAGGTGGTAGGATACAATCTTGTGATCTTTGTAGTGTCTCTAAATGGTCAAAAACTTTGTAAAATGATTTAAGAACTTCTCCCCTTTTCTGTGTTCTAGCATACATTCATAGCCGGAATTAGAAAATTTGGTAAAATTTCATCCATTAAATTCTCTGAACCTAATGTCTGTCTAGACACATGGTGAACGATTTTCTTTTATGGTTATAATTGGTAAGTTGTTTAAGTTCTTTGAGCCATTTTAAAAGTACAAACTTTCATAAAAATACATACTGATTACTAAAGATTACCGGCATGTTCATATGTAGCATCCACTTACAGGGGTCTAAACTTTACCACTGTTTTAAATCCCCATTCTGTATTCCATACTGCTTACATGGTGTGTCTTCTCAACTCTTTGTGCTGACCTGGCTTGCCCATAATTGTGCATGGCAGTGGCAAATGGGCTGTAAGAAAGACAGTGGTAACAACCGGGAGGTTATTAAACTTAGCAGGAATTCTAGTTTAAGTCCAAGCTCTGCCAATATAAAACAGGAGTAATAATCCCAATCTTTGTGGGGTTACTTTCATAATTCCATCCAAGGATATAGAGAAAGATATTTACTAGAAAAGATATAAGGGACAATCCATATGGATACAGAATCAGGCATGGTGGTACATGTCTACAATTATAGCATTTGGGAGGTTCAAGGTCCGCCCAGGCTACATAGTGTGATCAGGCTAGCTAGGGCACTATGGTAAGATACTGAATTAAATTTATTACTATTTTTTTAAGGTAGGGCTAGAGAGATAGCTCCAGAGTTAAAGGCACTTGCTGCTTAAGGATCTGGTTTCAATTACCAACATCCACAAAGCAGCTTACAACTGTCTGTAACTCCAGTTCCAAGGGAACTGACAGACTCTTCTGACTTCCACAGTTATCAGGCACACATGTGGTACAGGGACAGACATGTAGCCAGAACACCCATACACATAAAATATTTTTTTAAAAAATTTAAAAGAAAAATAATAATAAAATTCAATAATATGGAAATATTCTTCTACAATCTAGCAAGTTTTCAGTTGATTAAATATTACATGAATATAACATATTCAAAAATATATGAAGAATAGTACTATAAGTAGCACATAAAGAATAAAGGGAAGTTATATTAAAGAAATAAATAATTTAATTAAAGAGGACATTAATATTTAAATAAGCAAAAACTTTTAAATTGTGCATAGTTAAATATAATAAAATACAAAATACAAGTAAGCAACAAGAATAGCTAATTGCTTTTTATGAGTATAATTCAAATGGGTTCATTTTAAAATAACTGTTGTTTGTCACTGTCAAAAATCTCTTTTTGGCATGTGGAAGATCTTCATTCCTTCCACCTTGGTGTCCTGTAGTCTCAGCAGGACTTCAGGCAAACTCCAGATAATCAGCCTGATCCTAGTCTAACCCAACACAGTTGCCTCATTCTCTAGCCACTGGGAATGGTTCAAGAGAAGTCATGGGGATGAACATATCATTCATAGAGAACTGAGACGATTTAAAGGAAAATGGGTCTCCTACTGATGCTCTTTTGTCAGCCATACCACACCCAAAGGAATGCATGGCTGAAGAATAAAGTCAACACGAAGTATACAAAGAAGGTCCCAGTGTCACCTATTCCAACTCTGAATCCAATCTGCTTGAAACTGATATTATCCTGGGATATTTGAACCAGTATGGGTCAGTGTATTTCCTTTGTCCTTCTGTTGGTTTGCATTAGAACTTCTGCTCTTTGCAACAGAGATAGAACATCTAGATTCTTATTATTTTGACCCCTAAGGGACTACAAAAGGTAGACACCTCCTCCCTAGAATCCCTACCTATGAATGTATGTTCTTCTCCAACCCCTTCGCCTAAGAAGCACTGAGTGAACTTTTATAAATGAAGAATACAGACATGAGTGGAAGCCTTGTCCATGAAGTAAGCATCCACAGGCTTGTGCTTAGCATCTTCTAATAGCCTTCCACTACGCTAACAGTCAAAATATTATACAGGGCCTCTGTGACATAGAGGCTGCCAAACTCTCTAGCTAGCGTGACAATCTTTCTTCTTTGGTCTTTGTAATTGTTGGAAGCATAAATTACTGTGGCCCTGATGGTTAAACTGAGCTAAGATAATACACTTGGACTGAAATTTTGATTTCGCCCACTTAGTACATGTCACAGACAAATCCTATATCCCTCTTAGTGACTTAGTAACTAGAATCTATTGCCCTGGCTTGTCTTAAGGATAGAGGAGAGAAGACTACAAATCAAAGCCTGGGAGACAGTAAGCAATAACATCACTATAGTTGTTGTAGCACCATATCTATACTGGCATTCCTACACCATTTTGAAACACCCCATGGACTACAGCCTTTGTATAATATTTCCTCAATTTCTCACCTTGTCCAGTCCCTGTCAATCACTTAGCTTCCCTTTGCAGTATGCATCTAGCTAGATTTAGAAATACTTTATCTTGTGAAACCTATCATCCCTGCATGGACCATGTTAATTTGTCACTGCAATAACAGTGCCTAAGAAAGAGTTCCTTGTACCTAACCAACCACCCAACATTCACTAAATAAATGGATGAGTCAATTACTAAAATATTTCATATATACTTATTAAGGAATAAAATATCTTTGACATCTCAGTATGCAAGCATTTAATCTGTAAAAGAAACCAGTACCTCAGCTTTTCTTGACCCTGTACTACCCCCAGGCCACTGGTAGGCCATGTGGTGCCTCCATGCAGGAATAGGCAATTCCCACTGGAGTGCAAACAGCTCCAGAGTATGGGGGACACAGATGATGTCATGTGAATTAGAAAAAGAGTTCCTTTCTTTTGGGGAGACAAGAGTTCTGTGGAAATCTAAGCTATTTCTGAATTTCTCCTGTAAACAGTGCTGACATTTCCTCAATAATCCTTTATTATTTGCTTACATGATAAACAAAAAACTGAAGCTTCTGTCAAAGGGCATGCCAATCTGAGGCTCCCACACAGGCTGCTAAGCCCTTTCCAGAAAAATCAGTGATTTCATATCACCCTTGGAGGCTTCCGGATGCTTATCTCTCCCCACACTCAGCAATACTGCATGGCCTCAATTTTTATCACAATGAATTTTATGGTCATGGAGTGGCATCTTACAGATTCCTAGCTCTTAAATTTAGCAAGGTTAAAATTACTTTTCTTCTTTCTCTTTAGTTTATAAAAACAAAATAGTGGTGCCCATTTTCCTTACTGCTTTGTAAACACTTTAATGGTAATAAAGACATGAATTTATTTATGCAATTTATCAGCCATTTATACCTCCCTTTCTCTTTACCTTCTGCGTATGGAATATTTTCTTTCTTGCAAGTTTTATCTTTAACTGAACAAGCAAACAGGTGCTGTGGCTTCCACAAAGGTGCACTAACACGGAGGCCGCAGGGGACAAGCAAGGCGTGTGTCACAATGACCTAGAGAGTTGAGACTGAGTCCCTAAATCTGCTCTTACATCACTGACATGGATGCCCTTCACAGTCACTGATAGACGGGTGCTAAATGTCTCGAGAATTACTCCTTATGATTTTATACACTTGTTTTTATTAGAACATTCATAGTATCTCCAGTGTTTCAGTTTTTCCCAATTAATACAGTCACATGAATAATAACATGGTTATAATCTGTTTTCACCAATGATTCGTGAATGGGTTCTATGGAAACCTTGGTTGACTGGGAAATTTGCCTATCCTTGATTTTAAGTTCGGGAAATGGAAGAGGAACCCTGTCCCTGGAGACTGGAGTCAGCAGGACAGGAGAAAGACTGCCTGCCGGTTCTGAAGCAGATGGAGCAATAAGCCAAGCAGATTCTCAGGAGCCATAGTAATGTGGCCCCAAAGCATCGCCAGGGTGCGGAAACATAATTGAGAATGTAGCCAGGAGGAAACTAAGTTACATATTCACTGCAGCTCTTCTCATAGAAGCTTCAGTATGGAGGCTGGGGAGATAGGGAGAGGAAGCATTTAGAATTGAGAGAGGCTGCCCAAGGAGCCTACATGAGAACAGATGGCCACTGAAGTGTCTTCCCGTGAGAGCGGGATGGCAACTGGGTGGATTCTGATGAGAAAGTGCATTCACAAAGTCATCGTGGATTAGCTAGGACAACAGAAGACAGGCTGGGCTACCATTCTCCAAGACAGTACTCTGTAATTTCTCTGAACAAACATTTTAAAACAATCCAAGAACACTGAGTGCAAACTGCAGCCCGCTTGGGGCAAGAGTGCCTTCTGGTGTGTTCTGTGGGCAGATTTAGGGCAACAGAAAAGTGGCCCCACCCAACAGGGCTGTATGGAGCCATGGGGTCCGTGAGGAAGGAAAAGCTGGCGAGGTGAAAAGGGCAGAGAGAAGAGCCGAGTTAGAGAATCAGAGGGAGCTCACCCAAGAAGCCACAGAGGGATGAACTGGAATAAAAAAGGTAAACATTAGGGAAGCTGTTAGCAATCAGCCCGATGCAGGCAGAGGAGGGACAAATGTCATGTTTACAAAAGGCTTTACATATACATTTACTTATGGGTTGTTTTTTGTTTGTTTGTTTGAGTTGCTAACATTTTTCTAATATTGTATCCTTAGTCAAAGAAAAGGCTAAACAATATTTCCATATAAATTCAACAGTTGTTTTAGAAGCCAGTATCTGGACCTTACAAATCTCTCTCTCTAAAACGAGGTACAGTGTAGAGAAGACTACGGTGCTAACAGTCACTTCCATTTCACCTGTGGAGGTGTATTCTCCATTGCTTTGCACTCCTCCACAAAAGCATTGCCACTTAGTATTTTTGATAGTAAAGGTTTACCTAACAGGAGAGAAACACACTGTTAGGAAAATTCAGCACCAATTCAAGACCTTTGGCCAGTTTTGTCACCTAACTATACTGCCACCAGATTAAGTTACTACAAAGCATACATGGAATGTAGGCGACAGGCCTAAAGAGCTCTTGCCTCCTGATTGGCTGAAGTCAGCTTGTCTTCCAGCACTTGCTTTAGGTTTTCCAGCTCTAGTTGAAGCTGACTTTTATCCTCTTCCAGACTCAGTTTCTCCTTTTTATATTGTTCCTCCAATTCCTTAAAAAGAGAAAAAATTAAAAATTAGTAAGATTGAAGTACTATATACCTTGAGATTCCAAGAAACACAATCATGTTAATATTTTTCTTTACAAATTATCTCTCCTCATAAATAATGTCACAGTTAACTGTGACACCATTTAACACTAAATGGAGTAGGTCAAATCATACTGATATAGCCATTAGATAGTGCCTTTCATGACAAGGGTGTGTCATTCACTGGCTAAGCTATCGAAGAAAACCAGAAAAGCATGATAGAAATGATAATTTAACACACACACACAAAAACATTCTCTTGAATTTTCCTTTCTTTCATATTAAAATACAAAAATTCCTGTAACACAGAAATTCGCCATTCAAACTGTGGCATGTAGTTGAGAATTAACAAGAACAAAATGAAGGAATGGATTGTAAAACCAATTACAATGATAACTGCTAAAGAACTTATCTATCTTCCAGGCATGCTACTTAATACCTGAGCCTCACAGACAAGATGTGATAGGAAGCCTGTCTTAATAACCCATGATACCAAATAAGGAACCACTTATTCACCAAAAATTAGACATATGGAGTAAAGAGAGAATTATCTAGGCAGGGAACAGATAAACTTTGAGGGGAAACTTTAGAGAGAAAGTAATTCCTAAGTGTATAAACTGATGCCATGACCACTCCACAGTATGGTTAGGGGTAAGGTTTATATTTTAGACATTAGAGAGAGAATAGCCAGAGACATCTGGAAAAGTCCAGGGCAGAGAGAGAAAGCAGTAGGCTGAACATGGCCAGGGCTCTCTGCAAGAGAGGGGAGAAAGAGAGGATAAGGAATGGAGAAAATGAGAGAAGTAGGAACAGAGCAGAGAGAGAGCAAACATACCTGCAAGAGCAAACCCAACAAGAATAGCAGGTCTATAAGGAGAATAAATAGCTGAGGGGGAGGGAATCCCATGAGTTGGAGGAAGTTAAGAATATAGGAGGCAGTGAGAAGGGCTAGGATGCTAGCTTGGACTTCGAAATGTTTAATAGGTACCTGTGATACTGAAGGAGTCTGGTGGCCAGAATGAGCTTTGATATGCTGTAGGAACCACAGTTAGTCCTATGTCCTTTCTGTCAGAGGTAAGGGAAATGACTCCATTTAGAAGAAGGAAACCAGTTTTACAAGTTCCTGTGGAATGCCAGCTTTTCTAGCTTTCCCTAGAAATCCTCCTTTAGTCCAGGCTGAGCTCATTTCTGCATATATGAACTGCCTTTTGGAGTTTGGGGGATTGAGTTTTCTTTGGATAGGACACTAAGCAGAGTTTGAAGAGCATACCAGTTAAAAATAATGGTGGAGTAGAGGGGAACCGAGCATTCTAGGTAGAGGAAAAGGAATGTCTAAACACAACGGAGGAGCATACACATGCACAGCTTGGTAAGGGCACAATTTCTACAGTATAAGGTGAGGAAAGCTGTGGTAAGGTTGTGCTGGGGACCTTCATGACAAACTGGAGTTGGATGATATTCTAGGAGTAGCCACAGGCTTTGGCATTTATTATGGTGAAAATATTTAAATTACAACCTACAAAGGGAAACGCGTGAGTGAGGTATCTACAGGGCCTTGGCTACCAAGGGGCCCTGAACACTAGACATGCTAACTAGACTGCCCTAACAAGCTGTGACAGCAGTATGAAATAAAGTCTGGAGGAAGGCTCCTGAGAGACACGGGGCCCAGGTCTTTTTCATTGGGGCCTGGATGCATGGGCACCCTCTTCCAAAGTTCCAGGGGATAAGTAGGTGCTCTCATTATCACACTATTGGTACATACAGTTTAAGCAGGTGAGCTTTCCATCTTGGGGGAAGATGACACCCTTCTGAAACCCCAGTTTCGAGGAACCAGTCAGAGGCTAAACTGTCTGACAAGAGTAGTCTTGGGTGCTATGTCATCGTTTCTGCACAGGTTGTCCCTGTACTTTTGTTCAGATGGTGAACTACAGTTACAGTAGAAAATACAGTCCTTTTGTAATAAATAAGGAACAGAGAGGTCATCTTAGCTAAATGTTCTTTTTTCACATTCATAAACACATTTATTTCTCACTAAGGCCCTTAAAATAATTCTTACCTTTTTTCTTTTATAGAAAATAGTCCTGCCCATCTCTACAGTTCCCCCTCCCAGTTCCTCCTCACAGCCCTTCCCATCCAGATCCACTCCTTGTCTCTCATTAGAAAAAAAAAAAAAAACAACAGAATTCTAAGGGATAATAAAATATAACATAAGATAAAACAAAAGCTAACAGGTCAGAATTGGACAAAACAAAAGGAAGTGTTGTAGAATATTACTTTAAGGTATGTTACTTTTGTTTATGCTGTACATTTGTCTAACCATGTAAAGATGTGTTGTTTTGTTTAATGCTGCATTTGTTTAGCTGTGAGGCTGTGATTCTTTGCCTGTCTAAAACACCTGATGATCTACTAAAGAGCTGAACAGTCAATATCGAGGCAGGAGAAAGGCAAGGCGAGGCTGGCAGGCAGGCAGACAGAATAAATAGGAGTGGAAATCTAAGAAGATGAGGAGGAAGCAAGATAGAACAAGGAAAGGAGGGAGGATGCTAGGGGCCAGTTACCCTGCCAGCCAGGGAGTAAGAAGGAAAGTAAGATATACAAAAGTAAGAAAGATAAAAGCCGAGAGGTAAAAGGTAGATGGGATAACTTAAGAAAACCTGGCTAGAAACAAACCAAGCTAAATAAGGCTGGGTATTTATAAGTATTTGTAAGTATTTGGAAGCCAGGTGGTGGGACCCCCAAAAGAGCTAAAGGAGCCAAAGAGTAAAGAGTAATAAAACAACCAACAACACAGAAGGCCCAAGAGATCCACTGTTGGCACACTCAGAAATTCCATAAAAACACTAAACTGGAAGCCATAATATATAACAGAGGACCTGGTGCAGAGCCCTGCAGGCCCTGTGCATGCTGCCTCAGTCTTTGTGAGTTCATATATACGTTGATCATGTTGATTTAGAGGGCCTTGCCATCCACCCCACCCCTGAATCTTCCCATCCCCTCTGGCTCTTATACTCTTTCTGCCTCCTCTTCCTCAGGGTTTCCTGAACCCTAGGAGGAGGGGTTTGAAGAAGACATCCAATTGAGGGATAAGTGTTCAAGGTTTCTCATCCTCTGCATTGATGTCTGGCTGTGGGTCTCTGTATTTGTTCCCATCTGCTGTAGTGGGGAGCTTCTCAGAGGATGGCTGAGCCAGGCACTGACTGACTGTTTCCCCTAAATGCTCTTTGACATTAGAGAAAGGCCATTCTGGAACGAAGTTGGTTTTAGCTCACACACTTACTATGTTAACTTGGCAGCAGCAAGGGAAGGAAGCAGCAGGTAAGAACAAGCTATTTGGGTAAGTGGTACAGGTAAGGCCTCTCAGAGGGTTCTGTGGCAAATCCCTTCACAAGGAAACTTTCTCTCCAGGCTCATGAGCCTCAAGAGGTAAGCAAGAAGTCACAGGTGTGGTGAAGGAAAACTTGGACAATTCTCAAAGGCTTCTCCCCAGCATCATAAAAGCTAGAAAAATGGCTGGAGGAGGAGCCCTGGCCAGCCCAGCTGCGAGTCTGAGTCCCCAAGACCTCTGCATCTGCCTGCAGCCCATGCAGAGTGTGTGCTCCAGCTGCAACTTTGATGGGGTGGGCTTTTGGTAGATACAGCTGCTTCTGAGTCTTTCCTGCTCCATGTAATTCCTCATCCATGCTCCTGCTAGGAACCCCAGTAATCACTCACCACTTCCCCAACTTGGACGCTGGTGTAATTGTTACTTCAGTCTGTCACAGGCTCCCTTTCTGGGGTGAGCCAGTGTGTACTGCTTCCCCAAGGAAGCCTCAAACACAACACAGAGCTTTTGAATATGCTCACATGCAGCAAAGTTCAAGTTATCTTTCCAATGGCTAATGTGTTTTGGAACAGATTTTTGTGAACCATAAGTGGGGTGCTGGAGAGATGGCTCAGTAGTTAAGAGAACTGACTGCTCTTCCAGAGGACCCAGATTTGATTTCCAGCTCCTACACAGTGGCTCGATACCTTCTGTAATTCTAATTCCAGGAGCTCCAAAGTCCTCCTTTGGCTTCAACAGTCATTGGACATAAGTGTAGGGAGTAATCCTGTTTAGAGGTACTACTGACCATGCCTGCTTGGGCTGGCCACAGGTGCCACTGATCATGCCCAATTGGGCATGTCACAGTGACGTAGCAAGGGTTTAAGTAGCAGAAAGGCATGCATGTGGCCCTCTTTCCTCTCTCCCGCTTGGCTGAGTGGACATCTGCTTGTCATGCCAGCTCTGGTGTAAACCTGATCACTGGCCCTTCCATGAGTACTATCCCTTTACCCGTTGTCAATCTAGTTTTGACTCCATTGTGTTTGGCTTTACACATGTGGTGCACAGATATAAATACTTAGAGGCAAAATACTCACACAAAATAAAAATAAACACATGGAGATTATTTTGTAAAAGAACCGAATGTGGGCTAAGGCAGGTTTGCAGGTAGCACAAAATCCAGAATTTACTGGGTGAAGAGATGATAAGGAGTAATGAAGTACAGACAAACTGGAGTTTGCTTAAGTAACACCTAAAAGTAGGACATCATCAATTAAAAATGAATGTATAAATACGAAGGATAAACAATAGCTAGGGAGGAAATCACAGGCAGCTGTGTCCACTGCATGCATTAGTGTGTAACCCTGAACAGTGCACAGCAGCCTCCTTAAGCAAGTACAGGACTACACAAGGATGGGACATGTGACCTGGCACAGAGAAAATGGCAATCAGTCTTGAGAAAGAGTATGAAAGTTTTGTCTCCACCTAGAAAGAAGTAACATTCTACCAGAAAATCTCACATAAATTTTTAATTTTTACATCTTAAAATATTTCTTCCAGCACTTATGCCACAAAATGAAGGAGTATTAAGTCAGAATATCTAAATTTGCATTCAATCTATTCCACTCAATCAGGTTCATGGATTTGCAAAAAATCATTTAGGATTACTAAATATAGTATATATTTTATAATAAAGATGACACTAATCTCCAAGTCATGAGTATCAAGGAACACATCACAGAAAAATCACTTGTAAACTATAAATTGCTGCCATATAAAATATTAGTGCCCTTATTAATAAGGCCTGAGACTGGAGATCCACCCAATCCTTATAAACTGAGAGATTATTCAAGGAAGGAAAGAAAACAAAAACACACATGCATGAATAGTGTTCCCAGGGAAGGAAGCTATCTACTAGAAAGATGTGCCCTGGTGAGTTAAGGCTTCCTGTGTGGTACAGTTATTTCATCATGAAGAAGCCCCAGGTCAAAGAATGTTTCTGTTATGACTTGCATTACGTAGTACATAGTCTGCGCTAACAAACCATGCTGTACCAAGAACTTAATATAAGCCAGGTGGGATGGTGCAAGCACTTGGGAGGTGGAGGCAGGAGAATTACAAGGACAAGACTAGACTGAGTTACACAGTGAGGCCACATCTCAAGAGGAAGACAGGGAAGGAATTTCACTTTTATGGGTATTATTCCTGGAAGCATGATGACAAGACAGGAGCCATAAAAGTCAAGCAACTATTCTTCCACAATACAGGCCATGTTGGACAATCCCCACACTGTCACCTCTTTAAACTGTACTAGTGAATGAAGTTTCCACTCACCATTTGCAGCTTTTTCTTATCTCTGCTTGCATTGTTGTGCACAGCCTCCATCGCCATGTGGTGCTTCCAGGCTAATTCTTTCAAAGTCTTTGAATGGGCCTCGTTTAATTGGGCCACCTCGCCTTCCAATCTATTCTGCAGGGTTTTAAGCTCCATTTCATAATATTCTTGCTGAGTTCTCTTTGCTTCATTTACTCTCTTGAATGAAAACAAATAAAGGTTAAGAACTGGTACCTCCTTTTTTCATTAGTGCTATCACTGTCTGAACACCTTAGGCATACGTAAATTGGAATGAACTAACTGGTTTGAGATCTAGACTTTGAAACCTTACAGTTGGTGTTCCCAGAGAGTGACAAGGAGGATGAGGCAAAATAAAATATTTAAAAATCAAGAAATAAAAGAAACTGTTGCTGTATTAGAATCAAATGTGGGTTTCTGCAATGACCAACTTAAAAGATAAAAGTTTCTGTATAGTACACAAAATAGCTTACCTATTAACCACTCAAATAATATTATTCAATACAACTGGTGTGTCAGTTATGTGCCCTTTAACCAATCACAATCCAGTGGTAAAAGAAAGTAAAAACACAGTGGCAATAGTTTTATGAGTTTTGTGAAAGGGTGTCTATTGTATGTTGCTAGAGAATACAGGAAAAGGGCATAACCTGGGTGGGTAGAAAAGTAAGGGTGGGAGGAGAGGGGGAATAGAGAGGAAGAGAAAGGGAGAGGGAGGGAGGGAGAGAGAGAGCGAGAATGAGAAATAAGAATCAATTCAATTTGGGAAGAGAAAATATAGAGCTGGTAATGACATGTTCTCTCAATTTATACAAGCCCAGAGGCATCCAGAGATGTCTCATTTACATCTCTTGTCAAAAGCATGGGTTCATAACCATTTCCATTGACTTTCAGAATTTTGAAAGACGAAAAAGTAGTTAAGCAGGAGGCAAAGATGGAGGGAGACAGAAGGCCTAATGCATCTAAGGCACACAAGTTACCACAGGCTATAGAAGCCTGGGAATACTGAGGGAAGAGAGATGGGGCTCAGAAACAAGCAGGAGTCAGACAATGAAGGGAGTCTTAATTCTATAATCTTGGACTTTTATTATGGAGGGAATGAGAAATCATAAAGACACGCACACACGTGTATACACACTTTAAATAGTCATCTTTGCATAGGCTATGGAAAGCAGCTAGGAAGGTGTCACTATCATCCATACAAGCAATGACACTTACTTAAACTTGTAGTCTGTGGGTGGGTATAAAGAGAGGAGGATGGCTAGAATAAAAATGTATGAAGGGAGTAGAACTAACAGGACTTAGTAACAGATAAGGAGATTGGAAAAAAGAAATCAGGAAAAACTCCTTCAACTATGCCAAGTAAGGAATGCAATAAACCGTTTTAAGGGGAGAGAAATCCTGTGCATAATGTGATGACATTTTATCAAAACCATAAATAGAGACAACTAGAGTTAAATATATGAGACTCAAGAGAAGAGAGCTGACTGTTAACGGTAGATTTGCAGCTATCAGTAAACAAAAGGCACTTGATGTTGCTAGGATAGATAGACGAGCATGTGGAATGAAAGAAAACCCTGGGAAGATCCTGACAGGAAGGTCATTTCTGTAGCTTGCAAGATTCACAGCTGGGCAACAGCATTGGTTATCTGTCCCATCCGTCCATCCATGTGTCCCCACCCCACCCCACCCCCCACCCCGAGCAAGCAGAGCACTTTCTGGTACCATGAAAGCTAACCAGCAGGGATGGCACTTCCTGGTGAGTACCAGCTTGATGTCTGCATGTCCTGTGACTCAAGTTTGTGGTGTCTTCCGCAGCAGGGTCTTATCATCAAGTTCTGGGGCATAACTAAGAGCAATAGTGATGATGCTAAGAATGTTTTTGGAGCAACCATTTGCTTTCTGATTGGATTTAACACTCGTTCCACAAGACAGAACACTTGTCTGGTAGTGTTATCTGGGCAAAGGACCTACGGCTAACATTGATTTAAACCGTCTCCCACATATTTACACATGCAGGCTACTGCAGCTCTCAATTCTCAGAAGAGAAGTTTCTTTTTGCAGTAGACGGAGAAGACTATAGAGATTCATATCACAAAGTGCAGAGGATAAAAGGTGGGGGAGTGCTGAACCCTAAATGGGACATCTACACCACAGTCCCTACCCCTAAGGCTCAGGAATCATCTCAGAGGAAGAGTCAGAAAATTCTGCCAGGAGTAGTGGAGGGTTGCTTTGGAAGTGTTTTCTGGCCATTACAGGACCATTGCAAATATGAACTTACAGGGACTATGGTAGATGCACAAGGCCTACAAAAGACCAAGCCAGCCAAAGTCCCAGTATGAATGGGAAAGGGGCTCACAAAATCTCACCTCTGGCTAAGGAGCTATAGGCAATTGATGGCTCCTAGGGTGCAGTTCTTAATAGGCCGCCCATGTTCCTTTGGATGGCCCTGCACCCACACACATACTTAGGAAGTGTTTAATGGACTCGGTGGGATTAGAAAGAGATGGTGAACTTGGGAGGAAAAAGTGGTAGAGTTATGGGAAGAGTTGAGAGGGGAAAGATTTGATGAAAACACATTATAACACAATAATGTGCGAAATTCTCAACTAATAATTGTTTTTATTGCTAGAAAAATCTTCAGGAATGGAATGGGTAGAGCTGGAAATTTTTACAAGTAAGACTAAAAGGCCAAAGAGTTAGAAGAGAAATGAGAGAGTATGAAATACCACTATGAACTGTGGGGAGAGGTACAAATAGTACAAAGGAAGATGCACCAATCAGATCTGGTGACAACCACAGTCAGGGGAACTGAGGCAAACCCAGATTCTTATGGCATGGTAGAGCAGGCAGCATCAGGTTAAGGAGTGAACTGGAGTGAGCACAGAGCAACAGCAGATGCTCCTAAATAGATTTAAATACTGGAAAGAGAAGGGAGAGCATAGCCCAAACTCACACTTTCGATGAAACTATCCAATAAATAAGCAGCAATTGTGGTCCAGAAAAATCACAATGCTGCTGTAAGAATTTTTACAACTTGATATTTGTTGTCTTCTCTTTACTTTTGTAGAAATTTCCTAGGATCCAAACATCATGTAATAGGCCTTAGTGCTAGCTACTGGGGAGGCTGCCATGGAGGATTACAAGTTCAGGGCCAGCTTTAGCTGAGACTTAAAGAGACCCTGTTTCAAAATAAAAAGTGTAAAGAGCCCAGGAATAGAGTTCAGATGCAGGGAATTTTCCTAACACTAATAAGGTATAGGGTTCATTCCAAGTTCAAAAAGAAAAGTCCAAACCAGAAAGAGAGGAAGGAAGTGGGGGAAGGGAGAGAAAGAAATAGAAGCTTCCTAGGAATACACAATAACATACATCACTTATTTAAATATGTATATTTAATATGATATTTAATAAAATACAAATCTCAATGAAATAAAAGTTAACTCAATTTCTGGTTTAAAATAAACTGAAATTCTTAAGACTTTCATAAAATAGACTATTACCCTAATATTTGGGATGCACACTTAAAATTGCATATTTCCTGTTCCTCAAAAACAAACCAACAAACACTAGACTAAGAAGTGCTCCTGTGCAGCAGGAGTCTGGATCTGTCCTTCCCTTCCAGTCCTCTGAGCACCCATCACAAACTTTCCTACCTTCCCTGCCCATCTTCCAGGCACCCATCAGGAACTTCCCTGCCCGTCCCCCGGGCACCCATCAGGAACTTCCCTACCCGTCCCCCGGGCACCCATCATGAACTTCCCTACCCGTCCCCCGGGCACCCATCGGGAACTTCCCTGCCCGTCCCCCGGGCACCCATCAGGAACTTCCCTACCCGTCCCCTCCGGGCACCCATCAGGAACTTCCCTGCCCGTCCTCCGGGCACCCATCAGGAACTTCCCTGCCTGTCCTCCAGGCATCCATCACAATACCTTCTCCAGCTCCAGCAGCTGCTGCTTCTGTTCCTCATCCAGACTCCGTGTTCTGCTTTGCAGAAAGGCTCTTTCCTTTTCAAGCTGACATAATCTCTCATTGGCTCTGCATTTTTCTGATTCTAAATCTTTAATTGTAACTTCCTGGGTCATCTGAGTTGCTTGAAGCATTCCAATATGACCTAGAAACCACCCCCCACAAAAAAAGTCTCCTTAATTTTTAAGTCCGTTGACATTAAAGTGTGTCTCTAAGGACACAATGCACTTCACCCCTGAGTGGGCCGAAAGGGGGGTGGGAGAAGGGCTTTTGTTTCCTCATGGTACAAAGGGAAATACTCACCATGGGAATGTCTTAGCCAATTATAATCCTTTAAAACACAAAGCCCATTTTTACATCACTAATGTTGCTCCCTGGTAGCATCTCACTTTTTAAAAAAGGAGAAGAATGCAAGCAAAACAAGTTGAAGTAGTGGCAACTCCTCAGTAGCTCATGTCAAAGTCTCCTGGGTGGGGGGTAACTGAGGAAAGAGAAGACGCACTGACTAACACTATGAAGTGAAAATGAGCCACTTGTTACTTTCTATCATCTCTTTTGCTCCCACTCTTCCTTTTGATCTCTGCTTCTCTGTCTCTTCCTGGAAGAATGTGTATGCAGGGAACAAAGGCGGCAGACAGCAGTGGAGTTTCCACTGAATTTAGTTTAGATAAAGACTAGATTGAAAAAAGGAGGACAACAAGATTATGAAAAAATAAAATAAATGACAGTAAAACTGGGTGAGGGGTAGTGAAAGGGTGGTTGGGCTGGATCCGATCAAGCCATTGTTTACAGATTTGAAACTGCAAGAAGTAGCAGATAGTCTATTTAAAACGGGTGAGGGGAGTGCACTGGTAAAGGGGAGATGAGGGATCTAGAGGGTGGAACTGGTTCCCAAACAAAGCATCACGTAAGTGGAAATTTCAAAGAATCCTGGACACACAGCCAGGGAGAGCCTACTGCTGCCCAGGGAGTGGCAAAACCTGAGGCAGGCCCAGCATCTGTGGGCATGCTAACTGCTTGCATAATTCAGATGCATGCTGAAGGACATTAGAAATGACTACTTTATGGGCAAGAAAAGTTGCCAGGGAGCCAATCAAAATGTAAGGGGGTCCTGAAACAGCTCCACTGGATAGATACACTATCCACATGGACAAAAAACAAATCAGACCTGACCTGGATCAGCATCTTCCCACTAACTAAGTGCTATGAAATGAAGAACGCTGGCTGCATCACATGGGTCACTCGGCTGTCAGACAGACAGACGGACGGAGGGAGAGAGGGAGGATAGAAAAGAATAAACGTCTTATTTTTGTGGAGTGTATTCTATAAAAATATATTCCTAAAACCAAAAACTATATGAGGGCTCCTGAGGCAAGATGGGAAGGAAAAAGAGCCACTAGGTCCAAAGCTTGGGTGAGGTCTCTCACCAATTGAAACTTAAGCATCCCAGTGCAATTAAAATGTGCTGTAAAAATTGCTTACACGGAGACACTGCTCCTTTTACACAAAGATATTCCCAAAGGAGAAGGTCAAAACAGCAATAAACCTTGCTTAAGGCCTGAGCACACATAACTGAATTTGATCTTCAGCCTTCCCCAGATAGTTCCTGGGAATCTCACTAACTAGGCTATTAACTTTTGTTGACAGTAAATGCTTCATGTGATTTAGGGATGTTACCCTGACTAAAATCCTTGACTGGAACACCACAGGAACCTCAAATTCCTTGACAGCTCTAAGGATGGCAACTGGAAACACGCCAACAACATAAACATGGCTACTGAAAAGACAGCGAGGCGCAGCTCTCTCTCGAGAAGCCCACACCCATATGTCAGGGCATCTTACTTGCTCAGGGATCACCTCTTTTCTGTTGACCCTGGGTTTAAATCTATGTTAAAAATCTCTTCAGAGAAACAAACTGGTTCATTCTGAGAATCCTTTTTACAGTGAAGTCAAAGACCTGACTTAACCTCAGTGGAATTCTGGAAGGAACCCCCACAGGCTGCTGCAGGATAGGGGGTAAAGGTGGGGGGATGATTAGGGGAAGGGGCTGTGCCCCACAACTGTTGACAGTTTCATTATTTCATTGTTATAATCACTCAAGAAGATATTAGATATTATTTTAAAATAAAAACATAGTCTAAATTAAAACATTAGAAGGGATGGTAAATATTAAATTAGCAGAACTTTCAAAATACTCAGATATTGTTTTGAGTGAACAAAGGGCTGGTTTTAGCTGAGCACTGCACCAAGCTATGGGGAGACATACTAGCTTTGAGGACAAGGTCTGAAGCTTGCTGTTGTAAACGCTCCTGGGCAGCTGCCAGCTCACTCTCCACTTCCTTGTGCTTGCTTAACAAGGCCATTTCTCCCTCCTTGGCATCATCGAGCTGTTTTTGTAGAACCTAAGAAAGATCAAATAGCCATAATCAAAATGCAAGCATGACACTAAGCTAAATAATTTATTTAAATTACAAGCATCACCTTTTCTCTTCCTGGAAAGTTCTGTGTAACTAGGACTACCCAGTTTTAAATCTGCTAGATGAGGTAACGCAATCTGACATTTTAAGTCATATGACCCAATTAGGGAAGTCTATTTCTACCCTGCCTAATGAATTCTAATATTCTGCTGATACTTACATAGCCAGGAAAGTTTCTGTGCCCGTACAACAAAACTTATAGAGGCTTTTGGCATCTTTTCTGCATGTGGGCTATCTCTTTATTAATTTTTTTGTTTGTTTCCTTGGTTGGTTTTTGAAACAGTGTTTCTTTGTATAGCCCTAGTTATCATTTGTAGACCAAGTTGGCCTCAAACTCAGAGATCTGCCTGGCTCTGTCTCCTGAATGCTGGGGCTAAAGGTATATACCATCAAAAGTAATAAATTTTTGTTCAGTGTCTAAATACCAAATAATGAGACAGATTATCCTTACTGAAGAAAAAAAGAAAAGCACAATTAACCCCTAAGCTCTGTATTTCAACTCTCCCAAGACACTGATGGAAATACCAGAGTAAGCTGTTTAAATGAAATCTACTCATAGAACCAACAAAGTTTTAAACTTATCTTTTTGGGTTTTTGATGTCTGAACATCTAACAGAATAGGTAAAGGTAATAAGAATTACCCCTTCCAGTTTTTTACCTCACAAAGGCAAAGACAAAAAATGGGGTGGGTGGGGGCAGGGGTATAATAAAGTGGTATGAATATAAACAGCTAATCCTAAAGTTAGCCAGGCTGCTCTCCAAATCAACAAATTAATATGTATGAAAAGGTAGGTGAGCATGAGAATGGCTTGCTGCTCTTGCAGAGAACTCAGGTTCAGTTCCCAAGCATCCACATGGTGGCTTACAGCCATCCATTAACAGATACATCTAGGTAAAATACCCATACACATAAAATAAAATAAAAAATCCAAAATAAGTTTTTTGTTTTGTTTTTAAGTGGTGGTGGTGGTGGGGTGTTTGGAGATTGCTCAGTGAGTAAAGTGTCTACCATCCAAATGTTTGGATAAGGTTCAGATTCCCAAACCCAGTTAAAGTCAGGTGAGCATGGTGGCCACCTACAATGTCACAGCTAGGGAGGCAGAGGCCAGGAATCCCCAGAGCAAGCTGGCTAGCTTGAATATGTGAAATGGCAAATGGAGTCCTCTTGGTTTTACCAAAAGACTCTGCCTCAACATGGGAGGTGGAGAGCAATCTGAGAAAACACCCAGTGTCAATCTCAGGTTTACACATCACACACACACACACACACACACACACACACACACACAGAGAGAGAGAGAGAGAGAGAGAGAGAGAGAGAGAGAGAGAAAACAGACTCTAAATGACCCATGCCCACTCACCTGAACATTGTTCTCTGCTGTGGCCAGTGCCCCCTGCAGCTTTTGGCATTTGTCAAGAAGACTGCTGGCTTCATCCTGCACCATTTGCAACTCAGTCTTCAATTTTCCTATGGTTTTTCTCAAAATGGCTTCTTGTCCCTGGAACTCTTTGCGAAGATCAGCCTCCTTGTCCCTGCTGGCCTGCAGGCTTTCTGCTGTGAAGAGCTGTGACCTTTTCATATTATCAAGCTCACGCTCATAAAATGACTGAGCTTTGCTCAACTTGCCTTCATATTCCTCAATGAGCTTTTTCTTTTCAAGTCTCAGCTCTTCCAGGGTGCTGTTCAAGGCCTCCACCTCCATCCTGTGCAGCTGCTCCATCTTCTCCTGTCCCTGGTTCACTGAGGCACTGTGGTCCTGCTGCGACTTCAACAGCTCTTGGACTTCCCGTCTGTGGGTGGTTCTCAACTCTTCCAGGGCTAACTGTTTGTCCTTTTCAAACTGTACCTGGAGCTGTCCAAAGCTTTGCAACCTCTCTTCAAACTTCCTTCTAATCTCTTCGACCTCCCGAGACATGGTTACTATGCGCTGGACGTGCTGGGCCTCTGCACAGAGTTGCATGTCCTCAACCCTGTGCTTATAGGCTTCAAACTCCGTCAAGGCCTGCTGCTTCATCTTCACATGATCTTCTAAAGACGCTTCCAGAACTTGGATCTTTCTCTTAAGGTCTAACTCCTCTGTTACCTTGCTTTTATATAGCAGTATCTTTTCTCTGGTTTCTGCAAGAATTTGTTGGATTTCTTCTTCATGAGCATCTTTGAGCGCCTGAATTGCAGACTCGTGTTCATCATTTTTAGTATTCAAAGCATATATTACCTACATGGTTTTGAAGAAGGGAGAAGAATTCAGCACATATTCTGTTACATCTTGAAGTTAATTCTTTCATTTGGATTGTCTTTTTTCTATGTAAATATTATTTCTGACAAATATTAAACACTGAAACATCATGCAATTGATTTGCTTTGAAAATGTCTGCCCTTGCACAGACTTTCAAATTGTTATTTTTAAAACATTCAAGATCACTCATTTTTAAAAATGCCCAACACTCAAGAGACTAAGGAGGAAGGATAGAAAGTTACTACATACATACTGAATTCCAGGCCATCTTGGAATACATAGAAATTCTGTCTGTCTGTCTGTCTCTGGTTCTGTCTCTCTTCCCATCTCTTTCTCAGAAAAGCATTCAAAATTAAGAATGATGTAGTATAAAGAAAGGATGAAAAGAAGAACAGAGGTCATTTGGCCAGAGAAGGTAGTTCTCTGTACAGCCCAGGCCATCATAGTGAGGGCTACAGAAGAGATGAGGAGAAAAGTCTCTCCACTTTGAATCATGTCCTTGTATCACATTCACATGCACAGAGCTCAAGATTTTAGGGGTCCCCAGAGTCCTTTTTTGTGTGTTAAAGGACACACACACACACACACACACACACACACACATATATATATATATATATATATATATATATTTGCAAATTCCCTTTTCTAGTTCCCTTATTGTTTGCTTTTGTTAAGGGTTTAGAACTATTTTATTGACAATGCACAAAATCTGCTGCATTCTAAACCAGTGAGTGAATGTAAATGTAAACCTGACTTGGGCCAGGCCTCTGCAGTCCACAGGGCCCTAGTGAGCAGTGGCATGTGATGCTAAGGGGGCTCCAGAACTACAGAGCTCAAAGAATATAGGGTTGCTCCCCTTTGCTGTGACCAGCCTTATGCTCTAGTGCTCCTAGGGGACTCTGAAGTGGACGTGAATTCTCAGTCTCTGAGATCTAATATCACTTCCAGGTGAACTGAATTACAGACACTAGAGAAATCCACATATATGGTGGTGACCAGAGGTGACCACAGCAAACCACACTGAGTGTGAGAAAAGGAAGACAACTTGCTTTATCCCATATCAAACAGCCATTAAGATGAACAACCAGGCTAGGGATGATGGCACATGCCAGTCATCCGAATAGTCAAGAAGCTGAGGCTGAGAGAGGATCATGAACCTAAGGCCAGGTTGGACTACAAACTGAGCAGCAGACCAGCAGGGATACACAGCAATGCTTTGTCTAAAAAGAAGAAAAAAAAAAAGAAGAAGAAAGAAAAAGAACAGGAAAGGGAAAAAGGCAAGAAAAGAGAAGCCCACTGGTCAGGATGCCTAGAGCAAGGGGATGCAGACTACAGGCCTCAAGTCTTCCTAGGGAAGTTGTGCTCTGAGTCGAATTTTATCTTCCTAAGCACATGGAAGAAAATGGAAAGGAAATAGACTTCCAAGAACCTAGTCACACCTTTAGGACTTTGTGCTTAAAAAGGCCTAGCCCATTGTGGGGCGTCACTATTTCAGGAATGAAGCAGTAGAAGGATACAGCATGTGAGTTTTCTCATCGATGGTTTATTGAAATACTCTTCTTCCTAACAATTTCCATCCGCCTTTGGTGAGTGACGTCAAGTCCCACATCCTTTAACCCTTCTTTCTCAAACACCACTGATAAAAAGTTATGCTCTGACCACCCAGCATGCCCATCATTTACCGTCATCATCTCCTGAAACTCAGGAAGTGTTAGATTAAGTATGGTCAACAAGGCAGGAAAGATATAGGAGTCCCTCAGAGAGTCTAGAAAAGAAGCTATCGATAGAAAATCATTGTAGCATTCAAAGTAGTAAATAGGGGAAATTCAATAGGAACTTGGAATTAAAACAATGAATTAGAAAGAATAAGATGTACACTATCAAAATGCAGAAAAACAGAAAAATATTACAGTAGCAAGCATTATTTCAGTTAAAACTCTAATGCAGAGGTCAGCAAGCAACATCTGAAGGCCAAATACGGCTGCTGCTTGCCATTGTAAATACCTACAGCATAACTGTGTGCATTTGTTCAATGCTGCAATCCGCCCATGACAGCAGGACTGAGAAGGAGTAGAAAAGCCCATTACAAACTCCCAGTCTCAGGGAAGCCATCTTAGTCAAAAATCAGCAACAACACTTCCATATTCCTTTCCACCAAAACTCACACAGTGAGAAACCAATTGTCTAATTTGAAGGTATAATTCATAAAGAAGTACACACCCACGTCAAACATACCGTATCTTCCAGGAAAGAAATATTAAAATATATTTCTAAAAACTTAAAAAGAACAATTAAAAGGTGCCAAGTGCAACAAATCAATACTAGCCCAATAAATTACCACTTGAGACATGCCATTAAGTTAAAATCTTTACTCTGTGAGTTTGAGACCAGCCTGGTCTAAAAGAGCTAGTTCCAGGACAGCCTCCAAAAGCCACAGAGAAACCGTCTCAGGGGGAAAAAAAAAGGTTAAAATCTTTAAAAACTATTTTTACACTGATTTACTTTATTGTGGGGGAAGGGACGTGCCGTGGTACATGTGTGGAGGTCAGAGTGCAACTCCAGGGAGTTGGTTCTCTCCTTCCAACTTGTGGGACCCAGGGATCAAACTCAGGTCATCAGGCTCACTAGCAAGTGCCTCCCTCTATCCACTGAGCAATCAGCTCAAGTTATGGTTATTTTAAAATAAGAATCTTCCATATGAAGATTCAAGTGGAGAGGGGTGAGGAGACAGGTGGATTCCTGGAGCTGATTAGCTAGCCACCCTAGAGGAATCCATGAGCTCTAGGCTCAGTGAAAGACCCTGCTATCAGGGAGATACACCAACTTCAACCTTGAGCCTCCACATATGTGTACCCATGTGTAAAAGCATCTGAACATGTGGCTGTAGATATTCATACTGATTGAGTGCACACACACACACACACACACACACACACACACACACGTTTACAAGTTCAAGCAAAACAAGTCATTTCTTTAATAATTTTTTCTAATGTTGGCTGATATGGGATGAATTATATTTCTTCCTAATACATATTTTGAAAAACTTTCCCTGGACATGGTGGTATTTAGAGATGAGAATTTTGAGAGGTTTCAATGGGTCACAATGTGGGGCCTCATCTATACTTAGTCCCTCTGTCTCTACCACAGAAGAAAAAGACTACCACATGCAAGCCAGAAAGAGAGCCCTCATAGGACTGAACTACATGGCACCCTGGGCATGGAATCCAAGCCTCCAAACTGAGAAATTCAGTGTGTGCTGTATGTATGTGAGTATGGTAGAATAGTATTTTCAGGTGTGTGACTTTTATTTACGATGCATTTGTTTAACTTTGTGAAGCTGTGTTACTGTGCCTGTCTAAAACACCCGGTGGTCCTAATAAAGAGCTGAATGTCCAACAGTGAGGCAGGAACAAGGATAGCCAGGGCTGGCAGGCAGAGAGGATAAACAGGAGAACCTAGGAAGAGGAGGAGCAAGGCGAGAACAAGGAGAAGAGGACATCAGGGGCCAGCCACCCAGCCAGCTACAGAGTAAGAAGGAAAGTAAGATATACAGAAGAAAGATGGAAGTCCAGAGGGAAAAGGTAGAAGGGACAAATGAAGATAAGAAAAGCTGACTAGGAGCTAAGGCTGGGCATTCATAACTAAGAATAAGCCTCCGTGTATGATTTATTTGGGAGTTGGGTGGTGAGCCCTTCAAAAAGCCAAAAGAGAAAAAAACATCACTTTATATGTGGGCACGCAGGTGTACATGCAGATACATGCATGCAAAGGCCTGAGGCGGACATTAGGTATCTTCCACTATGGCTCTCTATCTTATTATCTTGAGATAATGTCTCTCACTGAACTGGAACTTGACATTTTGGCTAGGTTGGCCTATGATCTCCACTGTCCACTGTTCCAATACTGGAGCCACAGGCACATGTGGCCATGTCTGGCTCTTTATGTATGTGCTGGGGATTCAAATGCAAGTCCTCAAACTTGCTCAGTGAACACCTCTGAACCATTATCCCAGTCACGTGTTGCAGAGAAGTTACAATTGGAAGCTCATTAAGAAAGGGAATAAACAACTCAAAATAGTTTCAGGAAGTCTGTGGGTGAAGGCCAGTTGGCCATATTTACACGGTCCCTCCTTCCCAACTCTCAAGACAAGTCGAGCAGCCTGAAAGAAGCAGAAACCAGCCAAATATAGCTCACAAAAACCAGACCGGGAGCTCACTGCATAATGTGCAGGCAGCTCAAAATGTTGGAAAGTGTCCTTTCCAGGTGACTCAGTTGGCCTTTATTTCTTCTGGGAAGTTCAGCTGGTACCTGCTTCTTTCAGGATCCATCTTAGTATTCTGTTGCTGCAAAGGGACACCATGGCTGAGGCAACTTATAAAAGAAAGCACTAAACTGGGGACTTCCTTACAGCTTTTTGTTTGCTTGTTTTGTTTTGTTTTTCTGAGACGGGTTTCCTCTGTGTAGCTTTGGAGCCTGTCCTGGAACTTGCTCTGTAGCCCAGTCTGGCCTTGAACTCACAGAGATCCACCTGCCTCTGCCTTCTGAGTGGAATTAAAGACATGTGCCACCTTGCAGCCCAGCTTGTTTACAGTTTTATTGGATTAGTCCATAATCATCATAATGGGGAATATTGCAGCAGCCAGGCAGGCATGGTACTGGAGAAGTAGCTTAGAGATTTACATCCTGATCCACAGTCAATGCTGGTGCATTGGGGAGGGGAGATAGAGAGCTTGAGACTGAGCCTGAGATCCTCCTCCTCTCTTCCCCACCCATCCAAATCTACACCCTTTCCTTTTGTCTCTCTCATTAGGATACAAACAGGCATCCAAAAAGTAGTCATAAAATAAGATAAAGCAAAACCAAACAAATGAGAATAGAATATAGCAAACAGGAAAAAACAAAACAAAACAAAACACAGCCAAAGAAAATGCTCAAGAAACAGTGACACACACATTTGCACAAACAGAAAACCC